TTTTTTAAAATATATTTTTATTGATTTCAGAGAGGAAGGGAGAGGGGAGAGATATATAGAAACATTAATGATAAGAGAGAATCATTAAATGGCTGCCTCTTGAGGAGACCAAGATGGCGGCATAGGTAAACATCGGAGACTGCTGCCGCAAACAACCACTTCAAAAATACAACTAAAAGACGGAACGGACATCACCCAGAACCACAGGAAGGCTGGCTGAGGAGAGACTCTTCAACTAGAAGGAAAAATAACAGCACACCGAGGCTCAGAGGAGGCGCAGTGTGGAAAATACTCAGGTGCGGAGGTGCGCGCGCAAAGCGGGCTGGTGGCTGAGAGCGCGGTTGTCGTTTTCGGTCAGGGGGGAGTCTCAGACTCTGAGCTCCAGATACGGGCGAATCGCTGGGGACTCAAACGGGAGAAGTGGGAGTGTCTGGCATCAGTTGGAAGGCAGCTTTCTCTCCGAGGTTTGCAGCGGTTCCTGGGGTTCTGAGAAGCAGAGCCTCTGGGAACAGGACTGAGGGCACCATAACGGCTCCCTCCGCCCGCCCTGTTGAGCCCGCCCCGCCCAAGCCCTGCGCAGAGCCATTTGCCAGATCGCCTCAGGCAAAGGCTAGATTAGCACCTCCCCAGAGGACAGAAGTTTTCCGCGGCAGACACAGCTGATTCACACAGCCAGTCGGCCTGGTGGTCAAATCCCTCTAGTATTAACTACAACAATCAAGGCTCAACTAGAACAAGACTGCGCACAAAGACCACTAGGGGGTGCACCAAGAAAGCATAAAAAATGCGGAGACAAAAAAACATGACAGAAATGGAGGATATAGAGCTAAAAATCGCAATTTTGAGGGCTTGCAAAAATGTGCTAGAAGCTGTCAATAAACTTGAGGAGAGAGTCACGAAAACTAATGAGACCCTCGATGCTATGATAAAGAACCAACTAGAAATTAAGCATACACGGACTGAAATAAAGAATATTATACAGACACCCAATAGCAGACCAGAGGAGCGCAAGAATCAAGTCAAAGATTTGAAATGCGAAGAAGCAAAAAACACCCAACCGGAAAAGCAAAATGAAAAAAGAATCCGAAAATACGAAGATAGTGTAAGGAGCCTCTGGGACAGCTTCAAGCGTACCAACATCCGAATTATAGGGGTGCCAGAAGAAGAGAGAGAGCAAGATATTGAAAACCTATTTGAAGAAATAATGACAGAAAACTTCCCCTACCTGGTGAAAGAAATAGACTTACAAGTCCAGGAAGCGCAGAGAACCCCAAACAAAAGGAATCCAAAGAGGACCACACCAAGACACATCATAATTAAAATGCCAAGAGCAAAAGACAAAGAGAGAATCTTAAAAGCAGCAAGAGAAAGAGACTCAATTACCTACAAGGGAATACCCATACGACTGTCAGCTGATTTCTCAACAGAAACTTTGCAGGCCAGAAGGGAGTGGCAAGAAATATTCAAAGTGATGAATAGCAAGAACCTACAACCAAGATTACTTTATCCAGCAAAGCTATCATTCAGAATTGAAGGTCAGATAAAGAGCTTCACAGATAAGGAAAAGCTAAAGGAGTTCATCACCACTAAACCAGTATTATATGAAATGCTGAAAGGTATCCTTTAAGAGGAGGAAGAAGAAAAAGGTAAAGATACAAATTGTGAACAACAAACATGCATCTATCAACAAGTGAATCTAAGAATCAAGTGAATAAATAATCTGATGTACAGAATGAACTGGTGATTATAATGAATCAGGGACATAGAAAGGGAATGGACTGACTATTCTTGGGGGGGAAAGGGAAATGGGAGATGCGGGAAGAGACTGGACAAAAATCGTGCACCTATGGATGAGGACAGTGGGTGGGGAGTGAGGGCGGAGGGTGGGGCAGGAACTGGGAGGAGGGGAGTTATGGGGGAAAAATAAAAAGAGGAACAAATGTAATCTGAACAATAAAGATTTAATTTAAAAATAAAATAAAATAAAATAAAGTAAAATAAAAATGTGAAGACACATTCTGATATCTTGGGCCAAGACATTTTGGCAGTCTAATAAGCCTTAGTTATGGTGATGCTTCTTTGAACATTAGGAAACAAGTTCTGATTTTAGCAAAATTGTTGTAGGCAACTGGATTAAATTAAATTCATATTGAAAATTAAGAATGTTTTAATTTTTTCTATTGAAAATTGTAGCTGAATGTATATCCTTGTTCAAAAACCCTTTTTATATTTATCTAATTCTTGTTATAATTTGTACAAATAATCCACTGAATGTATATGATTCTATTAGTCCTGAGCCATAATATACCTGTGGAATCATTACCACAATTAAGAAAAAGACAACATCCAACATGCCTAGAAGGATTCCTTATGCCCCTTAGTAGCCCATCCCTTCATCTGCTCCTGGCTGCAGACAATCGGTGATCTGCCCCTTATCACTATATGTTTCAATATTCTGGAATTTAATATAAGTGGGATCATGTAATATGCAGTTTTATGTCTATTTCATCTCACAGATGACTATTATTTTTAGATTCACCCATGTTGTGGCATGTATAAGCAGTTCACTTCCTTTTAATTGTACAGTGGTATATCATTGAGGAGGTTTGCCATCATTGTTAATCTACTTACTTACTGAACATCTTATCCTGGGCTCATCCATGATTTTTTTTGCAAAGTGTTTGTTTAAATATTTTGCCTACTTCTAAAGAAATCTTTTCTTACTCTACATGGTTGATGTTACTTGTCCAAGCTACTGACATGGTTGGAAAATGGTGAAGCAGGACTTGGACTTCAGCGGTTTGGCTCAAGAGTCTATCTAAGTAAAGCTTAGGTCATAGCAGCACCCTTCTTCAGGGTGATATGTGAAATAAAGTAAAAAGGTTAGATTGGGTGTGGACTCTAGACAGTGATGAATGTGATGAATGGTTGGTTGCCTAAGAAGTCTGAGCTTCATTTGAGAGGTAATGGGGATCTTTAAGTTTTGGGTCCAGGAAAAGAAACAATAAAGAGAGTTTTAAACAGTATCATTAGGTAGCAGTTTAAATAAAATGGGTTTGAAGTAGGTTAAATTAAGAGCCAGTGGAGATTAGTTAGTAATTTACTGGAGTGACATAGGTAGGCTCTCACCTAGAAACAGGACTAGTGGGACAGATAGGATGGATGGATGCTTTGAGGATAACTGCATGGAAGATGATCATGTTTTCCCGATACTACACAGTCACTGATAATTAAAACAGGTCTACACTTTTTGCATTCTGGCCATGCAATTTTAAATATTATTAATTAAACTGATATGATAGAGTCCTCTATAGTTTTATAATGTTATAAATCAAAGGAAGGTGGTAGAAAGAAGGCAGGGCAAGTCCTGACCTGATGTTCCTCCTTTAAACTTTCTTCATTTCCTTATTTTTTCCCTTCAATTCTTTCTTACTTTCCTTCCTTCTCTAACTCCTCCCATTCTTCCTTCCCTTTGTTTTGCTCAGGTATTCTCTATTATTCCTTATGGCTAAAAAAATAGCAGAAAACTATATTGGTATGTAAATAGCTGTTATCTTACATGCAACTTTTTCAAGTTTCAGTGTAAAAAACACAGTCACTGATAATTAAAACAGGTCTACACTTTTTGCATTCTGGCCATGCAATTTTAAATATTATTAATTAAACTGATATGATAGAGTCCTCTATAGTTTTATAATGTTATAAATCAAAGGAAGGTGGTAGAAAGAAGGCAGGGCAAGTCCTGACCTGATGTTCCTCCTTTAAACTTTCTTCATTTCCTTCTTTTTTTTCCCTTCAATTATTCTTTATTTTCCTTCCTTCTCTAACTCCTCCCATTCTTCCTTCCCTTTGTTTTGCTCTGGTATTCTCTATTATTCCTTATGGCTAAAAAAATAGCAGAAAACTATATTGGTATGTAAATAGCTGTTATCTTACATGCAACTTTTTCAAGTTTCAGTGTAAAAAAACTACATTAAATATAGGGAAATTGGATAGAACTGCAGTATAGACAAGCTTGTCCACAGAACCACTTGGTAAGATTATTTGGTTTGTTTTTTACACATATGTCTACTTTTCACTTTGAACTATAATAGGGAAATGCCTAGAACTGTGCCTGGTACAAAGCAAGTAGAGCAAGTGTAAGCAAAGTTTTACAAAAGAATTTTAGTGTAAAAACATGGAAGAGTGCTTTCTACAGAACCACATCAACTTTTAAAGTTCCATCTTGTCCTCTGTAATCAGATGCATTTTTTCCCATGTCTTCTATTGTGAATGCATTTTCTTACTTTGGAAAATTGTAAGCCATTTTTTCATCTAAAAGTGCTTCTTTCTAAAACATTAAAGAAAATATATTGGTTAGCATTAACTTGCTACTTAGATATGCAAAAAAATTATGATATTATGATATTATATTGGAAATGAACAATCATTCCTGTCGTGTGGCTTATGAGGTTACTCTGAGTATGAATCTGGGAGGGTAGTATATTAAGGGTAAATTTCCATTTATGGTCAAACATGATGAATATACATATTTAACATGCAGATGCAATTTACTTCACTACACATATTCAGGGAACCAGTCCAGGTTCAGATCAGAAAAGGTCTCTTAATTCATAGCTGTCCTGGGAAGCTGAGGGAATTTCTAAATCACCTTCAATTGGAGGATGTCTGAGTGACTTAACCACAGTCATGCAGGCCGACCATAGGTAAACATGACATAGTACATGAAATGTGACTTCCCTTTGTGAATCTTGGGGCTAATATTGATCCTGAATGTACCAGAAAGGATAGGATTGCACAGAGCAAGAACCCCAGATCTCCTCAGAGGGCTCCCTAGCATAGTCAGCAAGAGACTGGATCAGTACATGCATGTGAAAAACTATCCAAGGCCACAGAAAGGCCCATCCTAAAGGATTAGGGAGAACAGCGCTCCTCACCCACCTGTCATGTGTAGCCTCAACAGCCTCTCTGAAAACATGTTATTCACAGAGTGTTGGGTAGAGTATTGAAATGGGTCTTGCCTCAGTAGTGGGGAACTACTAGTCCCAGATTAAACATGGTTCTAGCTCCATCTAACCAATTTTAAAAAGAAAGTCTTATAGCAAACTGTTCCTAAATAAATTACATCCAAGGAAAAAGCTAAAAACATTTATAACAACATAAAAATCCTCAGCACCCAAAAAGTTAAATTCATAATATCTGGCATCCAATCAAAGACTACTAAGAATATAAAGAGGAAGAGAAAGATGGCCCATAAAATAATTAAGTTAGTCAAATTTGACTCAGACATGACACAAATGTTAGAATTAAAGAAAAGAACATTAACATAGATAACATAATTGCCTTATGAACATGTGGAGTGCAAAGAAGTGACATGAAAGATATAAAAATGAACAAAGTAAAATTATAAATGTGTGAGGTAGTAATACAATGAATACATTAAAGGCACAGTAGACAATTCAAAAGAAGAGATTAATTCCTGTTGAGGAACAGAAACTATCCAAAGAAAAAGACTAAGAGAAACAAAATAATGAGTATCAGTGAAATGTTGGACAACACTAAGCAGCCTACTATTTCTGTAGAGATGAGGTAGGGAATAAAGAAGTATTTGACAATAATGGTAATCATCACTGCTTCTATTCTACATTGTAGTGGAGGCTGTAGTCCATGCAATCAGGCAAGAAGAGAAATACAAAGAGAATTTGAAGAGAAGAAATAAAACTCCCTTTATTTACAGACCACCTGTTCATTTGTGTAGAATATTAATTGGCTTCGGGAAAAAAAGTACTAGAACTAATAAATGATTTTTAATAATGCAGAACACAAGAGGAATATCACATTGTTTTTGTATATACTAACATCTAATCTGAAAAAAGTACAAATACTAATAGTAAAAATGATGAAGTAACTAGGGATAAATAGATAAAAAAGATGTGTAAGACTTGTACTCTGCAAACTTATAATATTGATAAGAAAACTAATGATACCCAAATAAATGGAGAGACATATTTGGCTCATGAGTTGGAAAACTCACTATTATCAAGAATTGATTGAGAGACCAAGATGGCGGCATAGGTAAACACCGGAGACTGCTGCCGCAAACAACCACTTCAAAAATACAACTAAAAGACGGAACGGACATCACCCAGAACCACAGGAAGGCTGGCTGAGGAGAGACTCTTCAACTAGAAGGAAAAATAACAGCACACCGAGGCTCAGAGGAGGCGCAGTGTGGAAAAAACTCAGGTGCGGAGGTGCGCGCGCAAAGCGGGCTGGTGGCTGAGAGCGCGGTTGTCGTTTTCGGTCAGGGGGGAGTCTCAGACTCTGAGCTCCAGATACGGGCGAATCGCTGGGGACTCGGACCCAAACGGGAGAAGCGGGAGTGTCTGGCATCAGTTGGAAGGCAGCTTTCTCTCCGAGGTTTGCAGCGGTTCCTGGGGTTCTGAGAAGCAGAGCCTCTGGGAACGGGACTGAGGGCACCATAACCGCTCCCTCCGCCCGCCCTGCCCTATTGATCC